ACCTGTCCCTGACATGGTACCTTGGCTGCCATTGTTATATTGCGACAAAGATCCACCTTTTATTTCCCTTACGCTTAAAAAAAATACCAATATTCCTTTTCTATTTCATCTCATTTCCCCATCAAGATGGCTGCCTTCTTTTGTCTCCTGTTGAGCAATCCCTTCTGTGACTCTCAAGAAGCCTGTTGCTACATTCTCCTACTTCTAGAAAGCTATGGCATTTTCAAGCAGTTTTCTTGACCACTAAGATTTCTCGAAATCAATTTTAAATTGTCATTCTTGAGCAAAAGAGTGTTTTTGAGTATCATTTTTTTTTTTTTTAGGGCCAGCATTGTTTTAAAAACTGTCGGGAGGCTGACAAGGTTCTAATCTAATCTGCTCTCAGAGTTTATAATTCTAGTTCAGAAGACAAGGTATAAATAGAAAAAAAAAAAAACAAATGGAAAAATAATAAAGGTTAAAATTGAAGTCTAATAGGAACCAGGGAACTCCCATTTGTCAAGGACGTTATTTCCAGATGGTGCCATGAGATTTCTCTCCGCCCTCGGTCCAGTTTTCCTGTTGGTTTTAGATTGCTGTTCTATTCTGTCTGAAGGATCCAACTGAGTAAAGGGGTGCTTTTGGTTTAGTTCACATTATCAAAGCCCTCTTTCCAACTGCAGTTAATCTCCTTGTTTATTTCTTCTTTTGTTATTTAATCGCATTCTGTGTAAGAGGGATTCAGTTTGTGTGAAAGATCTGCCACAAAAGAAAGTTAGTTGTGTTTGCCTGGGCACTAGTGTTTGTCAAGCATGGTATTTTCAGTCTCTCTTCAAATTATTATATACTATGAGGATAAATCATGCCTAAAAAATGTAGTGATTTTCAGTTGCAATTGTCTTCTACTGAAAAATCCGACTTAAGAATTGGCTCAGGTGCTACAGTTCAGCGAAGGGTAAACATCCTATTAATGTGCCAATGTCTTGCTCTGTTGTCATGGGCAGGCAATGTAGCTTTCCCCAGATGGGAGGCCAGAGCTGGGAGACTCTAAAAGTTCCCTGTGATGGCAGCAAAGGGTGCAAGTAAGAAGGGGAAGAAAGCTCTTTTATTAAGTAACACAGAAGTATGAGCCATTGATTGTCCCCTCCTACAACTCTAAATCAATGCTTATACTTTTACGAAGCTAGGGGCAGAGGGTGGGGTGGGGTGTAGAATTAGAAGGAATCCTGGCCATGAATCATTCCTATATTTAGGCTTAGAACATATTTGCCATGGGCTAGAGAGACTGAGCTGGCCTGAGGCTCAGGTGTAGGGACAATTAGTCCCGAGTCCCTCTTTCATGGATTTTGCCAACATGAGGTCACAACACTGAAACCATCAAATAGCAGTTATTTGATGTGAGAAGTAGGAATAAAATGGCAAACCCTCTGGGTCTTGGTTGCTGGGGACCATTAGAAAGGTGAGACAAAGTAGAGTCAGTTGGGTTACTAATTTCATGCCATCCTGAGTAAAACCCTGCTGGTGCACATCTATATTCCTAGGCTGGTCCTCCAGGAGATGGTCCATGTGATGCTCTATGTCACTAGAGGGAATAGGAGCAAATGTGGGGAGGGGATCAGGGCTACAGTGGACCATTTCCTAAAGTAAGGGTGGCACAGAGGTCACCGCTTTAAGTGTCTATGGAGTTGTCTGCTGTAGGAACACTGGTTCAGTTATTTGTTTTCATATAAAAGCATTTTCTCTTAGTCCTCTAACTTAAGTATTGATGAGCGTGTCATACCTAATAATTGAATATGCTCCATGAATGCAAACAAAATCTCCCATCCTGAAAAAGGGGTAGGTCCTAAACTATACCCCGCAATACCAAATATTCTTTAAATGATTTTTATTACACTAACATTAAACAGATGTAGACATTTTTTTGTTTAAATGTGTGCTGGTCTCCTGACTTTTCATTGGACTTAAAATGACTGATTTACTGCTGGGAAAATCTCTTTTTAGAGGAAACCTTTGTGAGAGTTTCATTAATTGCCTTGTTCTGCGGCCTCAGGGAAGATGGGACCACCAGTATTACCAACCCGTCCTATGTGATTTACATGTGTTAAAACTCAAAAGCACATTTGTCACATGCATTGTCAGAATTCTTCTGTACTAGAGTTTAGTGAGCTCTGCATTTGAAGGCTTTGAAAGACCACAGAGACCTCGTCTCTGCCACCACCACCCCAAACCTTCCACCCCCTGCTGGAAACAGACTCAAGGGTACAAACCAGAACCAGGAAGCATGCCAATATTAGAATAAGAAAGATGAAGTAGTACGTTCTTCCTATGCCAGTGGTTCTTAAACTTGAATATGCAAAATAATTACTCGGTAACTGGTTTAACTTGCAGAGTTTTTGAGATCCTACCTCAGAGATTCTGAATCTCAAGGTCTCTGGACACTGTCTACCTAGTGGCTTTCAAACCTGGTTGCATGATGGAATCTTTAAACAAATGGATGCTCGGGCTCTACCTAAATAAGTTAGAATATCTATGAAGTCAGGTCAAAGCATAGGTAGCTTTTATAAGCTCCATGGTCATTTTAATATGAAGCCAGGGTTATGAGGCACTGGTGTAAGCTAGGAAGCCTCAGGTAAGGACACAGCTGAGGGTTCTCTGGAAGTCCTTATTGGATGAGGCAGCTGTTGTCTAGTTTGATATGCTTATTTTCAAACAAGGTATCCTACTCCAACACGTCCAACTGACTATACTAAAAATACATGGCCTACAAGATGGTGAAGCATTAGAAGGTTTGTGAAACCCCTGAATTCATGTGCTAAAATTTGTATGGATGTGCATATCCACATTTTTCTAGAGAAGGAGTGTGCAGCCTTCACTAAATTCACTTTATTTTCTCCCTTACCCCTTGTTTTATTCATTCATATCCCCTAGTCTTAGTCCCATTCTGCTCTACTACAGAGGTAATCATTTTTTATGGTTAAAGGATGCTAAAGTTTATCATTTGTTTCACTGTTTTTGTTTCAAGCGCACATATTTATAAGGTACATAAATTGTGTGTTCTTAGTGCTATCATTGTTAATATGTATACATTAACCTACCTGCTGCATCTGACTCTGTGGAAGCCCTCCCCACTCTTTTGCCTCTCTACTTCCCCAGGGGTGGACATCCAGAAGGTGTCCAACTCTCCTTAGCTATAAATAGAGCGACCTCATGTATGTCTCCTTTTGAACAATGGGAACTTCTTGGGAGACATACCCACAAATGGAATTGCTGGGTCACAGGGGGGTGTAATACTTCTTCGGGCTAAGAAAGGTTGTATGGTGCTCCAGATGGCTGCTCCTGACTACACTCCTATCACCTTCACTGCATTCCTAAAGTGATCTAAGATCCTCACCAACTCTCCTACCAAAGTGTAAAAGCTGTTGGTTAATAGTTGTAGCTGGGCCCTCAATGCTGACGGCCTTTCCTTTTTCTTTGTCCAGGTCTGCCTTCTTTCCCATTCCCTTTGGAAACTGTATTAAATCCTCATCACCATCCTCAAGTCTCTTATTCTACCTCAACTTTCACAGAAAAAGTAGAGGTTATCTTTAATTTTCTCCCTCCACTTCTAAGTGTACCGATGTCAGCTCCATCTTGCTTTGTTCTATTCAGGCCTCCTTCTAGGCTCGGCTCCCCTTATCTTTTGATTCCCTCCCAACTTGATTCCCTGAGCCTTGCTGTGTCAATCTTTTCCTTGTTTTGCTCTCTCTCTCTTGCCACTGGCTTGCTTCTGTGGCTTTCAGTCTTGGCCAATTCTCTCCCAATCTGAAACAAACTACCCTTTTCCTTAAGCTACCTCCCTTTTTGCTTTTTAACACTGTTTTTCATTTATCACAAAATTTTCGAACACATCATTTGCTCTCTTTCTCTGTTCAATTTCTTCTCACTTGCTCCTTCACTCCCAACATTCCAAACCCTGGTCTTCTAGTTGCCAACTCTATTGGCACTTTCTAGCTCTGCCTGCTTATTTCTTGGTAGCATCTGAAACTACCGGCAACCTGCTTCTTCTTGGAATCGTCTCCCCTCTTGGCTTTCAGGACAATCTGTTCTCCTGGTTCTCCCTCTTTGCTCTCTCTGCTTCTTCTCAGTCCCCATCATGACCCCTCTCCCTCTGCCTCTCCTTTAAAGCTTCCTCTGTGGTCTGTCCTCTCGGCCCTTGCACTTCCACATGATTTCCTGAGACAGCTCATCCACTTCGTATGCTTTCTTCGTTCGTCATTTATAAACATATAACTCTCAACCCTGAATTTCGTTTTAATTCAACAAATAGTTTTTGAAAATTTACTGTGTGTTAAGATCCAGAGTCACATGGGACATATAAAAAGAATTCACAGTCTAGAACTCTGTCTTCCGAGCCCTAGACCTGTAGTCTGGCAGTCTTTCTGTTTGCTAAAGTTTGGAGATATGTGTCTAAATCATGGGTTATCTGAAATAAGTTTTATACCTCTAAGTTTATTCTAAAGTATTGAGAACACAGCCTTGCTTGATATCATGTTGGCAGATTATGCCACCTGCTCTGCTTCTGGCCTGGAGAATACTCCAAGGACTCTGGATCACAAGATGTGCGTATGTAAACTTCCCTTGACTAAGAAGTGTTGGACCACTCTTCAAAACAGCTAGAGGACCTGGAGTCCTAAAACTATAGTTTTGCCCATAGATTTTTTTACTCTGCCTTTGAAACAGTAAGATATTGAGGGAGTCAAAAGCTGATGAGAATTAAGGTATATGAGGCTTGCATACAAAGTTAGAGCTGCCAGTAACAGCCCCTACCTTAACATTGCTTACTCACAGTACTGGGATGATGAGGCATACATGTCTGAAAGAGAATCATACCAGGCTGGAAATAGTGCAGTGTGAAACTGCATAAATGCCATGCCTTTCTTTTAGAAGTTAGGTTGGACAGATTAGGGAAGATAGAAGCAAGTTTCCTCTAGGCTGGCCCTGTTTAGCCTTGGAGGACCAGCTGCTCTCTGAGCTAGCCTTACCTCTGTTTTAGAATCTGTTTGTTGTCTTCGATAGTAACGCTGTCAGCGTGGTCCCTCTTGAAGATTTCAAAAGCCTCCTGGCGTCCTAATGACATTTCCTCTCTCATCTCTGTTGGAGACACAGGAAAATGGCCTCAGTCACAGCATCAGGATCCCATTAATTTCATTGTCACTTTAGTCAGACCACAGAGCTGGCCCTGGCTCAGAGAGGCCCACAGCAGAGAGGCTCCCAACCAGACAGGTGGCCGTAGGCTCTTCCAGTTGGCTGCCAATCCACAGAGGAGGCACTTCCGGCGACACCCACTGTACCCTGCAGGGCTGTGCCTGCACATCCATGTGACTTGTAGGGGGTAGAGTTTGGAATGTTTGGTCAAAGGAAATGAAAACCAGAGTGCCAAGCCCTGGATTGCCAAGGACATCTGCAAATGCACTTTCGGCCATCATTCAGTGCCACATTTCTCCTTGTCATACCCGATTTTGGTTTTCTGTTAAATTTCACTCTGAATTTCCAGGCATTTAGTTAAAAGAAATATAATCCAGACTGAAAAATGTAGAATCTAGAAAATTTTGTCTCCATTTAACAACTTACCCTTGTTTCCTATGGCTAGTGGACCTCAGTTCTTATTTAATTGCAAGATCCATAAGCATACAGTGGTGGAGGTTCCTGGTTCATGTCTAACTTCAACACCCTGTATCACTATTGCCACTACAGACTAATCCTCACTGCTGAGTCCTGCTCAGGGGCGAAATTCTGAAACCCAGAGTCAGAAAGCCCTTGGAGAAGGCAGGTGGCACTCCTGCAATGAGGTCCTCTTCCGCATGCCTCCCAGAGTGAGGGTAAATGCAGGTGTGTCCCTGGGACCCTCTGAATTTGTAGCTGGAATTTGGATGAATTTACAGTCAGTTTTGATGCCTCTGCTCTTAGTTCCTTTTTTCATGATTTTATTCATTTAACTCTACTTATCTTTGAAGCCCTGGCTGAGTGTTAACACCTCCATCAAGCTTTGTGCAAGGCCTAGACAGAAGAAATCATCTCTCTATTCTGTACCTATCAATGTCTCTGTAACATGCACAGCCCAGTAGACACTGTCGCTTTATATGACAATTCTTTCTAGTGAAATGTAAGTTTTTCTGGGGGTGGAGATAATACTTTTTTTGTGACTCCTTGGTGTCTTGTTCAATGACTGGCATTTAGAATGTGCTCAGCATATGTCTATTAAATGAGTCAGGTCAAGAATGAACTGAGAGTGATGATGAGCCTTAATCTTATTGTCATAGGAACAGGGTGCAGGGCTAGAGGGGTTTACTCTGAGGTCTAAGGTTCCAGAGACACATTCATATGGGCCACATACTACATCTTCTCTTGCCTGAAAAAATCCTGCTGAGTCCCATCACCCAGTCTTGGGGTGAGTAATTGGACCAGCTCATCTGACACCAATTTAATGATTACTGTTGATAAAAATAGCACCATGAAGAATGTCTGAATGGTGAGGCACACAAAGACACCCCACCCTTTTCCATTAGAAGCAAATTGGCACAGCTCAGTTCTGTCTCCACATCTGTCCTGCACACTCCACAATCAGGGGAGTGAGGGCTGGGAAAGGGTTTGTGTGAGACTCAGAAAGATGAGCCTTGATGCACAAAAGACATCAACTAGAGGACACTTTTCTTCCACCAGGAGCCAAGGGACTCACTCTATACCTCTCCCTTGCCCCATTCTGTGTCCATTTTAACAATGTATGTATGCCTTTCACTGCATAATAAAATAACAGCAGAGGGTAGAGGGAACGAGTCTCTCTGGAATAGAGTCAGGGAAGAGAGAAGCTGCATTGAGAGACCACATTAGCGCCTGGCTGTGGGATTCCTAAGTTGCCTCTCACAGAGGAGGGGTGAGAAGGCTTCCACCAACCAGTAGCGATAGGGATGTGGGACTGGGGCAAGACAGAGGGTTGATCAAAAAGCTGCTGTAATGGAGAGGGGTTCATGGCCTTTTCTCTTTCAGGCGCTGCTTTCTTTTAGAGCTGACAGTCTGAACTGACAATTGGGTGGAAAGGCCATGTTGAGTTTTTTCAGCAAGCATGGTACTGTTACAGTAGGTCCTGGATAAACCTACAATCAGCTGAAAACTCCACTGGGTCTTCTCTGAGATATAGATGGACCTGGGCAAAGGAACAGAAAGGACATGAGGTGCACAGAAGAGAAAAGCCCAGGAAGGTAGTTTGGGATCATTTTGCAGAGAATCTGGAAGGTCTTGCTAAGAAATTTGGGGCCAGGGCAATACTATACTGTACACAGGTCGCTACTTTTTAAAGACTTAACATTTAGCTAAATACACATTATGGGGAAGTTACACTGGAAATACTTATTACTTTTGGTGATTTAAAAGGCACTTGGGGTCCTGCAGCACCCTGGGCTTGTCAGAAACATGGTACCGATTTTCCTTCCACCATATGGAGGCAGTATTCTGGAATTGGAGTGCTGACCTCAGGTGAATAAACAGTAACGTGATGGTCATCGTCTTGGCAGCTAGCATCCTAGGTTTTTGCTTGGAAGGGTCAAGGTAAGGTGGCTGATGGTGCCCATTGTATGCGGGCAAAGAGGCAAGACCTAGAAGCCTGCAGAGACTTTATGGCTGTCTCATGGAGGATGAGACTGTGGGTCTGCAGAGAAGGCACATGGAAAGGACTCCATAGGCATCTGTAGTGTGTGACTCTAGGCTCCATATTAACTGTACTCTTGTCCATCCTTATTCTGCTTGTTTAGAGCCCACAGCCAGCTCCTTTTGGGTTGTATTAATAGACCAGTTTTCACTCCAATGCAAGGCCACCCACAAAGTTAATGAACACCTTTTTATTTACTGTAGAGATATTGCTACCTCCTTTTCCCTTTCAGAATTTGGAAAATAGCTTTCTCATATGGCAAGCTCTTGCCTCTAAGCACACACTGTATGCAGCAGAAAGAGCAAGAGCAGTGAGGCGTAAGAGTGACTAAAAGCTCACTTTGCTAAAGAGATAATTATCTATTTATTCTCTCAAGTATTAATCTTAGGCACTGTGCTAGGCATGTGACAGAGATATACATTTGAACGAGAAGGTTGATCCTTGCCCTTAAAGAGTTCAAAGTCCAGTAAGAGAGAAAAAAAGTAAAGAAACAATTACAATGGGAGTCGCTGCGTGCTGTAGAGGAGGCTGTGTCCAGTGCTGGGAAAGGCGGGGAGGGCCATCTCTGTCAGGGTGAACGGTAAGAATTTGGAAGGATGAAGCAGCATTTTCCAGGTAGAAAAGAAGTGCAAGAAGATCCTAGGTGGATGGGGCAGAGAGGAAGGGTGGATTAAAAGGACAACTTAACATGTGTGGTTCTGCAACATAGTAGGAATGACCTTTGGAGTGACTAAAAAAATGAATTTTTTACATACTGTGTGCTAAGCATTGTGCCAGGTAGTTTCTTTCATATAGACATAACTTATTTTATTGTGCTTCACTTTATTATCCTCTGCAGATATTGTGTTTTTCACACATTAAAGCTTTGTGGTAATGCTGCCTTAAACAAGTTTATCAGCGTCGTATTTCCAAATGGGTTTGCTCACTTTGTGTCTCTGTGTCACATTTTGGTAATTTTCACAGTATTTTAAACTTTTTTATTATTATTATTTATGGTGATCTGTGACCAGTGATCACCGTCTTTTATGTTACTATTATAATAGTTTTGGGGTGCCATGAACTGAACCCATATAAGATGTGTGTGTTCTGACTGGTCCACTAAAGGGACATTTCCCCATCTCTCTCCCTTTCCTTGAGCCTCCCTATTTCCTGAGCCACAACAATATTGAAATTAGGCCAATTATTCTAAGCAGCATTATTCATAGTGGCCAGGACATGGAAGCAACCGAAGTGTCCTATGATAGATGATTGGCTAAAGAAGCTGTGGTACATATATACAATGGAATATTACTCAGCCATAAGAAGAAATGAAATACTGTCATTTGCAACGGCATGGATGGACCTTGAAATAATCATACTAAGCAAAATAAGCCAGACAGAAAAAGTTGAAAATCACATGATATCATTTATATGTGGGATTTAAAACTAAAAGCAACAAATAAACAGGACAAACAAACAGAGACTCATGGACATGGACTATAGACTAGTGGTTACCAGAAGGTAGAGGGTGAGGTAGGAGGGGGGAGATAGGTGGGATAAAGGGGGTCAAATACAGGGAGTAGGGGAAGAGTGAAGTGGGTAAAGGGGATCAAATATATGGTAGCTGAAGGAAACCGGACTTTAGGTGTTAAACACACAATAGAATATAGAGATGCCAAATTATAATGTACACCTGAAAATTATATAATTTTATTAACCAATGTTATCCCAATAAACTTAATTTAAAAAACCCTATATTATATGCTGTGTTGACATTAAAGTAATATAAGGCATAATAGGTCTTTACCTAGAAGAAAATTTTGTAATTGGACAAATGGCAATTATGGATAAAACAGAATATCATAAAAGAATATAAAAACATGAAATACATGTTTTTAATTCCCTTTTTAGAAAAGAGAAAGTGTGTGAACTGAACTCAGAAAAGACTATGGAGTAAATGGAGTTGGAAGAATATTACTGAGTATTCTATGGTTTCAATGATGGGAAAAAAAGGCATGAGGTGTAGGAGTGTAAAAGGACTATTTAATGACACAGGAAAAAGTTCAATAGGACTTTCAGGATCTCTCCTATCCATTCTTTTTATTCACCTAAGTTAGAGAAAGCCTCTGACCAAATTCAAGTTAATTCTGTCTGATCTGATGAAAACAAACTATGTCTATTCTGAGGACTATTTTTTAGAAGTAGTGATTATTATGGGAAGAAACTAAGATACAGAACAAAGTGCCTTCTTAAAATTGTGTGTGGTAACAGTATATTGCAGGAAAGGAAATAAACAAATATATTTATAATAAAAAAAAGAAATTAGGCCAATTAAAAATCTTACAATGTCCTCTAAGTTTTCAAGTGAAATGAAGAGTTGCCTCTCACTTGAAATCAAAAGCTAGAAATGATTAAGCTTACTGAAGAAGGCATGTTGAAAGCCAAGAGGGGCCAAAAGCTATGCCTCTCA